AATAGTACCAACAATGAAAGTTCTAATACAAAAACAATAATACTAACAATAAAGACTCCAATACTAAAAAGAAAGAATCATTGATGAAAACTCCAATACAAAAATGATAATACTAATAACAAAAGCTTCAATATTAAAAAAGACAATACTAGCAATAAAAGCTTCAATACAAAAACAACACTAATGATAAAAGCTCTAATATCAAAAAAGATAATACCAATAATGAAATTATATATAAAAAAGCATTAGTAAATATTTAAAAAAAATAAAGATCTGAAAAAAAAATAATATAAAAAAAATTAAGGGAGCTGATACTTATTACATAAATTCAACCTCCTCTAGTATCAGCTATTTGATAATAACAGGTTCTAAAGTAATCATAGTGGAAACTTTATATGATTATTTTATTTTAGAACTTGCAATTGTTAAAAATTGATTACTTTAGAACCTGTTATTGTCAAATAGCTAACGCTGGAGGGGTTGAATTTACGTAATAAGTATCAGCTCTCTAAAACAAAAGAAAAAAAACAGAAAAAAAACTAAAAAAAAACAGGAAATTAAAAACAAAAAAAAAAATAATCAAAAAACTATTCATATTCAAAATTTTGATTACAAAACCACTTTTTGTGTTTTTAAAAAAAATTCTTGCAAAATTTTGCTATATATCTTGTCTTTCCTACTACCATACTAATGTTCACACTTATACTAACATCAAAGTTAAGTTTTTGAGTATTGACAATTTATGGTTTGCTTTGGCTAATAAAATTTTAGCATATATTATCACAAACAGAGAATTTTTATGTGTATACTATTTATAAAAAGACTTTTGTATGATTGGCTATTTAAATCAATTTTATTTTACATTATTTAAAAAAATAAAACTATAAAGAATAAAAAAAAAGAAGTATATAGAAAATTTTATTAGGGTTATAGAACTCTAGTATTAAAAATAATTAAATCATTTCTGGTTTTAGAGAAGTTAGCATAATAGCAACTTCTTAAAGATAGATAGAATTAGGTTATTACTATGATAACTTCTCTAAAACTAGAAATGTTTTTGATTATTTTTAATACTGGAGTCCTACAATCCAAATAAAACTTTCTATATACTTCTTTTTGTTTATTCTTCGTAGTTTTATTTTTTTTTTTAAAAAAGTACTTTAATTTGTATAAATAATGTAAAATTAAATTGATTTAAACAGCCAATCATATGAAAGGCTTCCTATAGATATACTATTATAGTAGTGGCAATAGGTTTGCCTTTTTAAGAAACAATTGCTTATCTCAATTATAAGCTTAGTATCAGATTAAAATTTAAAAGATAATATTATAAAGGTACACTGAATTCAGAGTTCTTGGTTTTTTTGTAGCATCTAAAATGGTACTATTTTTTAGCAAAATAGCTAGCAGCAATTGTCTTGTGCTAAAATGTGAAGTTTGCTATTTTTGCACTAAACATGTGATTATTACCTTTGTTCTTAAACTGATTTAGATAAATGAGTGCATTTTTAGATGATAACTGGAAGACCAGGACTTCAGACACTATACTAATATACTGGCTATTTACTGCGCCGATACCAAGTATCACTTTTGATCTATCAAATTATGTATTAATCAATTAATCGAATATCTTATACATATAAACAATTATGTAATAATATGATATGCATACATTGAATTGTTATTCTGGCCTAATATAAAATAGATCAAGAATGACAATTTTTATATGGCCGGTATATAACTAGTATCTGAAGCCCTGCGGGGGACTCACTGAAATGATAGATGAAGAACTCGCAGAAAAAAAAAATAGTTACATTAAAATTTATACTTAATAAATATTGTGCTAAATTTGCTAATTTCACTAGCTAATTTTTGCTAATTATTTTTGCTAGCAATGTTCAGGGCCTTGAATAAATTTGGTAATAGATTTTTTTTTTTATGATTTTTCTTTTCTTATGCAATTTCAACTTATAGTAAGTAATAATTTTTGATATGTAGAAAATAAAATTGATCAGTTATACCAAGAGATTTTACATTATCATGTTAGCAATCTAGGAGCTCCCTAACTGGTAATATCTTAACTATCCCAAGTTTAGTTGAGATTTTCAAGTTTATTGTGTGTTCATCACACTTTCGAATTGCACGTTAGGTATCCTTATGGTTATCTTGAGCAATAAGAATGGCTTTAATAGTTTTGTGTACAAAGACACCCAGTTATATGAAAATAGGAGAACCTTTCTTCAATTTTGTTTGGTCAGTTGCCTTTAGATGCATTAGTAACAATGATTTTCAAATAGTATCAGTAACAAATTCATTTAATTCATCATATGGTTCTTCCGCACTGTTTATTTATTGATTTTTTTTTATTTAATATAAAGAACAATCAAATAAATATATTTATATTTTATTTCTATTACAAACCTTTTTAAATTGATCTGAATTCCCCTGCTAACTTCATGACTAATGCATGAAATTTATGATGATACATGTTATACTATCTACCAACGTCTTTAACCAAAGATCCTAATCTTGAGTCAGTTTTTGGGATTCTGCAAACTTGTGTAATAAGTTCTTCATATAGTACCATACTGTTATTTTTGGTTCATAAAAAAAGAGCTTTACACTCCTCTTGAAGCTGATATTTAACATGCTAAATCCGAATAAAATTAGTATAATCGTTATTGTTACAATTATTGTGGTGAGTGAAGCTAAAATTTTGATCTATTTTTATCAAAAATTTTTGTGTATATATATTTGGATTAATATTTACTTGATCAATTTCTGAAAATTTTGATACAGGTTCATATATTAAGGTAGATACTGAAGCCATATCATGTTCTTGATCTTCTATCCTAGTCATCATCCTATTTCTAATATTAATTACCAAATCTAATATTCTTCTATGATAAGCCAACTACAATGCAATTTCAAACTCATTATCTATTGTTTGAAATTGGTTTGGTCATTTTGGCGGCATATTATCTATTAGTTAATAAATAAAATTAGTGATGGGACCTTCGAATTATTAGTTAAAATAATAAAATAATTATTAACTATGTATTATTAATTAATTATTAATTTAAAAATGATTATTAACAATTACGAATACTATGCAATTAAAATTAAAAATCTATTGTATGTATGAATTTTTCAATAAATATGTTATAACACAATTAATAGATTTATTATTAATAAAAATAAATAATCTCTGTATTGATTACTTAATAAAAATTATTAATAAATAGATAGTAATTTGAAACAATTCTAACTCCCAACACTTATAATTTTTATTTTTTAAGATATACCTGCAGAGAAAATTTAAAAAGATGTAGTGGTATTATCAGTATCGCATGCTGGCAAAGAGACCAAAAGAAGCAGATTCTTATCACTTCTGTGATTTAGCAAAGAAGTTGAAGGTGTGATATTATCATCAGTTTCATGATTTCTTAAAGGGAAGTAGTAGATGTATTATTATCATCACTTTCATCGCTTTCATCACTTTTATCGCTTTCATCGCTTTCATCACTTTTATCATTTTCGTTATTGTTTTTTTCACTTATAGTTACAGGCTGATTTTGTTGAAATGATAATTTATCCGACAACTGCTTTTTGTATATATACTGTTAGTACTAAACTGGTTTAATTATTGTCGCGGCTGAAGCTGGAAATGGCTGAAGCTGGAAATTAGAGGTCTCGATTTAAAACTATAAGCCCTG